TTCCAGGCTTGGCAAAGAAAGGGAGTTAAGATGATCAGTTCCTAAAGAATGTCTTGGATTTTCAGATTTCAGGCTAGGTCTTCTATAAAGGATCTTCTGCTGCCCACCCTCTCATTGTTCCCTCCTAGACCGAATGCAAAGGCAGCCTTACACTAACCTTGCTTGGGAGAGAAGGGCTGCTAATCAGGGATTCAAATCTCTGTTTCAGAGTTAGAGGTTGAGATGCAGGAGTGACTCAGCTGGCATCAGCTTGTAGCAGTCTCTGCCTGTGCCTGCAGGCTTTCAGGAAATGAGTCCTCCAGGCCTGCATCTCCCTCTGTGGCAAATTGCCACTAAGCTCTGCTATTTACCAACCCAGTACCAAGCACATTAAGTAGAGATTGCTGTTTCATTGTTTGAAAACCTACTATATACAAGCTAGATAATGTGATAGGATAGGATTACAAAGGCAAATTAGCTACTGTACCTTCCTTAAAAAGCTTACAATTTAGTAAGGGATATAAACAAATGTAAATATATCATTAGAGTACAATGATGCATGCTATAAGAGGCCCAACAAGAGGGCAAGGGGAAGCAGTTTGGGAAAATCTGAAAAAACTTTTCAAAAGAGTTAACTGGTTTTGAAAGTGGAACAGAGATGTGCCAGGTAGAAGGGGCCAGGATGAAGGCTAGGGAACAGTATTTACAAAGGTGTGGATTCATTAATGGATAAATTAATTTATTAATCTGTTGAGTAACCTCAATGTGCTTGGAGCTTGGGATTTATCAGTGAACAGATTTTTCAAAATGTCTGCCTTTGTGGGGCTTGCATTTATTTTAACAAGGTAAAACAATTAAACAATAAATATAATAAACCAATAAATAATATAGGATGTGAGAAGTCGAAATTTTGGGGAAAAAAGTAAAGGAAAAGAATGTTTGGAGAGAGGTTTCTTGGATTGTCACTAGGGTGGTTGGGGAAGCCCACACTGAAAACATTGAATGAAGTAAGGGAGCCAGCCCTGGGGATATCTTGGGGAAAGAACATTTGAAGCTGAGGAATTAGGAGTTGGCTGGTGTGTTGGAGGAAGAGCAAGGGGACCAGTGAAGCTTGTAACAAAGGGGACGAGTGGCAAGAGGTGAGGTCAGAGACATAATAGAAAGCCAGATCTTATTGGGTCTTGTAGTCCACTGTAAGAATCTTAGCTCTGAATCTGAGTGAGGTGAGAGCCATGGAAGGGTTCTGAGCAGAGGAGTGACATGGTCTGACTTATATTTTGATAGGATCACTCAGACTGATGTGAAGAATAGACTGTAGACAGATAAGCTTGGAAGCAGGAGGCCATTTCAGCAATTCTAGTGAGAGATGATAGCACCTTCATGTTAGCAGTGGAGGTGGTAAGAAATGGTCAGATTCTGGATATATTCTGAAGGTAGAACCAACAGGACTTCTTCATGAATGGATATGGAATATGAGAAATAGGAGTCAAGGATGACTCCAAAGGTTTTTTAGCCTGAGTAATTGATAGGATGGAGTTACCATCAACTGAGAAGGGGAAAATTGTGGAACAGGTTTGGGGTGGCAATGGGGAAGACTATCAGTTCAATTTTGGACGTTAAGTTTGAGATGTCTATTAAAGACCCAAATGGAGGTATCTAATAGGCAGTAACATATATTTTGAGCTCAGAGTAGAGGTATAACTAGAGAAATAAATTTGAGTCATCAGTGTATAGATATCATTTAAAACTATGAGACTGGATGAGATCACCAATGAAATGAGTACAGATAGAGGAAGTACTGAGCCTTATCTTTGGATATTCCAAAGACAGAAGGCCAGAGAAAGGAGGAACCAGAAAAGGAAACTGAGGTGTGAACAAAAAGGAAAAAGAAAGGCCAAAGGCAAGATCTGGAAGTCAAGGGTATCAGAAAGTACATCAAGCAGGTGAACTATTCAGGTGAGTCAAATACTGCTGAAAGGTTAAGTGAAATGAGGATTGAAGTGTAAAAAGAGCAGTTTCAGTGGAGTGGTAAGAATGAACGCCTAACTGGAGTGGATTCAATAGAGAACAGGAATTGGAGGCAGTGAGTGAATATTGATTAACTTTTGAGGGGTTTTGCTGCAAAAGCTGATTTTGTAAAAGATGGGCTAGATAATAGCATGTGTATACACTTGTAGAAACAAGAGTAGAGGGAAAAACTAATGATGTAGGAAAGGGGGGAAATGATGGCACAACATTGAGTGGAGGAATTGGCTTTAAAAAGAAGCATGAACAATCTAGTATAGGCAAAGTGGAGTATATATATGGATACAGATGGTAGTAGGTGAGTAGATGTGGGAGTCAATGGAAGTTCTCCAATTACTTCCATTTTCTTAGTTAAGTAGAAAGGAAGGTCATCTGTTGACAGAAATAATCATGGCCCAAAGAAATACAGTATAATTGTCAGGTAGTATAAAGTGCTTTCTTAAGGTTCTGGTCATGAACATAAAGTGAGACTAGCCACGTTGTTCTCTCTAGCTACATTCAGCTACGTGAGTGCAAGTGCAAAACAGGTCGACTTTAGCCAAGGATGTGGTTTTGGCAAATGAGTATAACAAAATGAGAGATAAGGAAGTCGAGGGTATATTCGAGAAAGTGATCATGACTGACCAAGGTATACAAGTAAGTTGGGTAAGGAAGGAAAAGACATCAAGGTGGTGAGGGAGATGGTTTTATCAATTTAATAATGGTCACGGTGACTCCGAGTTGATGTAGTTGGGATATTAGAGAGAATGGGTTGGATAGTGTTGAGAGGGATGCATAAAATTGAAAATATGGAGCGGTTGAAATTATTGGTAATGGGAATAAATGCCCAAGGAATGTGCAAGATATAATCATTGACCTTTTTCAGGAAACTGAGAAGCCAGTTTGTTGGGGCATTTATGTCAATGATTCTCAAACTTAGCATTCATCAGAATTACACAAAAAGCCAATTAAAATACTGATCGTCAGATCCCACCCCTATCTAGGTAGAGCCTGAACATTTCATTTCGAAGTTGCCTAGTAATGCTGCTGCTGCTGCCATCCAGGGACCATATTCTGAAAACTACTGATCCATGTTATTTGAAATTGCCAAGAATTACATAATTTTGTAGAGTGAAGGAGCCAGGAGAAAAAAAACAAACAAAAAATTGTCAAGAAAGAAGAGTGGCCTGATTGGTAGAAAACTGCAACCATCAGGGGGAGTAAGTATATAACCTGATGACAAGATTTAAATCTGGGTTTTTATGGGGACTGGTTAGAAATTGTGTGACTGCAATGGTTGGTAGCAAAATGAGATTAAGGTAAGCTAATGGCAGATTGTCAAGAGCCTTCCAGGTCATATTTTATTAGTATCAGGGTCTTTTATTTGGTAAGCAGGTCTAGTGTCAATTCCCTGGTAAGGGAATCTCTGTGGAATCACTACTGTTTTCATCTCAAGTGATTACAATCGTTCCAACTCACGCTCTGGTAGAAACCAAACCACACTAATTAGGAAATATTAAGTCCCACAAAGCTAGATATCACTTTACCTAAGACTAGATAGCATGACATCTGATGGGACAATAAAGCTTAAATAGATAGTAGGGCAAAACAGGACTGAGAATATACAGAAAGGAACTGTGAAAATATAAAGTAGCGAGGTCTAAAAGGTGATCAGGAGTAAAGTCAGGACACAGACTATAACATGGGCTCACCCATCACCAGGGCCCAATTAGTGGTTCCATCACTTGTAACTCATGAGATGCTAGCCAGATCATTCAATGCTTCTGCTGCTGAGTTCCTGACTTGTTAAATGGGTCTATCATTTATGCCATGTGCCTCAGAGGAAATTTGAGAGCTAAATGAGATAGTGCAAGTGCTATACAAATCTCAAACATTAATACTTAGGTATGTAAGAGATGAGTGGAAAAGGAACTATTATCCAAGGGGAATGCTGAGGTGTATAGAACAAAGGATTAAGTGTGTAACACGGTCTTAAAATGAAAGCCTCATAAAAAGGCTTTGCTGTTTGACATTTATGTTGAACTTTTTATATAGTGGTTTCCCTTAAGAATCATACTGTTGGGCCAGTGACTGATATTTGCCTGGCTTTAACTTGACTATCATTTCCCTTCTCATGCCCACTACTATCTGTACTTTTTTTGTGAGAAAAGTGCAGGACCCCATGCGTTTCTATCCTAGCTTTTGTTACCTGGAGTTGGAATTGCTGGCTGCTGTTAGACTATACAAACTGAGGGCATGGATTATGCCTTGTCAAAATCCTTCGATGGCTTTCTATTCACTGTCCTTAAGATCCTCTAGTCCTTATATGGCATAAAATGACTTCATGAATTGGCCCTTCTCTCTAGTTTTACCTCACTACTCTCCTCTGTACCTGGTAATTCAGCCATACTGATGTTCCTTCAGAACCTCCCATATGCCAGACTTTTGCTGACTTAATAGCTTTTACATAGGCTGTTCCACCTGCCCAGTATACCTTGTTTCATTCTTCTTGGCTAATTCTTACTCTTCTGCTTTACTTCAGATATTAGTTGTTCTGACAGCCTCCCTTGGACTCCCGTCTCAAGTGTGGGTTAGACTCTTTCAAGCATTACCTTCTACTTCCTTCATTATAGCACTTCTCATATTATAATTGCATGCTTAATCACGTGTCTCAGCAGACCAAACTCTTGTGAAACAGGTAAATACAGTCTTGTTCATGAATGTTTCTACCATTTAGCAGTGCCAGGCTTTATGAGGTACACAATAAACATCTGACGTATAATGAAGTTATTAGTGGCAAACACTTGACACACGCAAGTTCAAGATAGCCTCAACAGTTCTCCACTAGAAGACATCTGGGGTTTAGGAATGAGAAAAGTAACAGGTCTGGTGAAGTCAAATGGCCACTTCAAGGAACCCACTGCTATTTTAACTTAAGAAAATCCCATACATGTACTATTAGCCACCATACATCAGAGGCGTGCTGTATGGCAGAGGAGGAGGAAGTAGCAGTGAAATGAGTAGTAAGTGTTTATTTTGAGAACTTTCTGGGGTGACCATGTGGTGAAAAAAAATAACATTACATATCATAAATTAAAAATTCTTTTTGGTTAATATTAATATTCACTGCATCAAAGACATAAACTCATGAAGATCACCATTGTTGTTGTATATTTTCAGTCTGCTGTGCATATTTTAAGTTACCAAATGCTTTTGGACGAGAGTTTCAATTTTGACCACCTGTTTACTGCAGCAGTGTTGGCATGACTTCGTATTTCAGAAGAGCAGCAGTCTCTATGGAGACTCCTTCTTGCCTATCACTTAGAAAAGCTGTGCCCTTTATTAAGCTAAAGCATCAGTATTCTAAATGCACTGGGTAAATTTGGGATTGACTGGATAAATGTACAATACTATTAAAGGATTAATACTACATTGTGAGCCATGGTGCTTTTCTAATATGCTATCATCTTCTGGTTATCATCAACTGGTATTGAATGTTTTACAGTGGCTCCAAGAGTTACAGTGGATTCAGAAAGGACCAATGAAGCATTCAAAGATGGGAAGACCCCCAGAAAAGCCAATGAATGATTAAGTCTCTCCTAGATCCTCAATAAAATGGCTCAAGACAGAATGATAACCAATCAATTCTACTGGGGGTGCCAAAATAATGTATACACATGACTTGTATTCATTTTTTGTTTTCGGTATATATTACAATTTTAATAGTTTTTTCCTTTCTTAAAATGTGTATACATATTTTTGGTACCCTCTGTATTTATTTCAGGACATAATAGGCTTTTTAGACCCATGGATAATACTGAGTTATAACCCTGTTTAAATATCCATAGGGTGTTTTATTTTTGCAAAGATAGGTTCTAAAAATCATAAAAGTAGCTAAATAATACACATATCAAAATTAGATAAAAAATTGAGTCATGGCACGTATTCACTGTCCTGGCATTAAAGATGTTATAAAGATACACAGAATACTAGCAAGTATCTCAACATTTATACACATAGATGTTGTCAAAAAGGTCTTTCTTTGATTTTAGCAAAGAGAAACCATCCAAATTTTATTCTTTATACTATTGACATGATTTAACTTTGGTACATGGTATTACTATTCTCCTACTGTAGTAAGTTCTAGTTTTCTCAAGGCCTTTCCCCCAACTTTTCTGGAAGTAAACATTATTTCCAACCTTCAAATTAAAATGTTACCCTCATACATATTTTAACAGGTTGGTATATACACATATATCCTTTCCAATTTCAGGCTAAGCAAAAACATGCATTTAGAGCTATATTAACATCACTAAAGTAAAAGAAAATCCAACTGAATGTCAAGAGAAAATGCAGTGTTTGATATAGAAAATATTGATTTTGACATATTTTATTCAAATACCAGTCTGATCACACATGGCCCAAGAACATTCAAACAATAAACCCAAAAGAAACAGATGTTAATGAGTGGTCTTCAAACGTTATAGCCAATGATGCCACGCTTGCCTATGATCTCGCCAACATAAAACCACATCCACACCTCAGTGGCCACCAAACCATTCAGCAGAGCTTCCTGAAAAAAAAAAGCACAAACTTTAATGTACATTTTTTTCCTTATATATTTACTCTTTTCCAGGATCCAGTGAGAAAGAATATAAGGATGTTATTCAAATTAGAGGGCAGTTTTAGTCAGAGTCAAGAATTACTGATGTTAACTTGTTTCAGTTGCTGAGAACCCTTGAACTTTCAATTATGTAAGTAGTCCAGAGCTTATAAATTCTTTCAAAGCATTCTTTAAAGATCTGAACTGACTTAACACTTTCATTATTAGTTTATGAGACACTTTATGAGCCCTAAAACAACCCACATCCTGGAAATAGCTGAAACATTTAGACAGGGCATTCATATGAAAGGATGGCTATGGAAGGGAAGTCTCTGAATAGACATTTGTCTGGCGAAAGAAAATCTGGTGAAAGATAAAGGGCTCTGTTTTCTCCTTTAGACATCATTTTTATTTATTTATTATTTGGCTTAACTCTTTCCAAGTATTCAGTAATTACTCAGTTTCACAGATCAATGTTTTGCTGTCCTGAAGAGAAAAAGTACATATATGGTTCCAGGAAGCAGTGTTACATTCAAGTACAAATATGGATTACATTCAAGTACAAAAACGCTAGTAGAACAAAATACCTTTCCACTACAAAATTGAGCCTTTTCCTTTTAGCACCTGGAAGTGAATTTTCCTCTTCAAATTATAACAGATATATTGGAAGTTTCCTGAAAAACTAACCGTATTTTCCAGGACGTAGGTTCTAAAGTCAGAAATAATTTAGTTATTTAGGGTTTTTAATCCTATGCATGGATCAGGCAAGCAAACATAAAATACAAGTTTCAATTCTTATACTCTAGACTTTATCTTCACACAATTCAGTAACACTTCATATATCATATGCTTGCTATTTTTAGTATTTTATCTTTCATGAGTGTTAGCTGCCTAGTTGTGATATATTCTAATGGATCTTTTGAACAAATTGGAGGTAGTTCCAGGACTTCAGATGAAATAAAGTATAGGATCAGCAAAGTAAGCCATCTTATTTTAGTATACTAACCAAAATAGAAAGGGGAAAAAAAGCTGCCCAGTAAAAATGCTCTCGTCTTTGTTATAATACTAATGGGAAACTAAGATATAATAGCCCAATTATTTCAACCCAGATGACAAAATTAGAAAGGTAAACATCTTTCTGGGCAGTCAAGAAAGATATTATCTCTCATAATGGTTTCAGCCTCAATGGAAAAAATAAACATTAATCAAAACAAACAGAAAAATCCCAAGGGAAGACATATTTTGTTATGCACATACGTTTTCATTTAGCTCATAGTTACCTTAACTGTGAGCTGTTTGAAGCTACCAGTTTGAGCACTACTGACTATTTTTTTCAAGCTCTGAATAGCTGTAGGGATCTCAGCAGGGGTTGGAGGAACCAGCTTAACCTTGGCATAATGCCAAAATGTGGCCAATCGAGGCTTCGAGTAAGTCACAGCAGCTGGAAAACAAAACAAAACAAAACACCAGGATGAACTCACTAGAGACCGAAAGAAGCAGATGTGTGGGCTGGACACAAATATTTGTTCATGCATCACATTCATTCACTGCTTGAACCAAATGTGCACCCAGTGTGAAAAGTCAAAGCTGCTCCCTGGTAACAAGAGGCTTTTAAAGATGCAGAACACCTGTGTCACAGGCAAGTTCAATCAGGCAGGAAGCTATGAGCACAGTAAACTATGCCAGGACTTCACTAGTGGGCAGCTAGTACTGTTACTTCATTTATGAATGGCAAATCTAGTTAACTGTAAAGATACTAGAAGTTAGATTCAAAACCAAGAAAACAGCAGCAATGTAACCATATTTTCTTGGTAGAGAGACTAGAAAATATGGAAGGAAGAGGTGCAGAAAGGGAGGGAAGGAGCTATGTATTGTAGAATAGCATCCTTAAGAATAAGATCAAATCTGAAACTAAAAAAATAAGATTAAAACTTGTTACAATTATTGACCACAAATCCAAATGGAATTATACCAGTTAGTATCCATCAGTTAGTATCCATTTTTGGTGTCCTCATCAATATGTGGATTAAATTTTTTTTTATTTTATTTTTTTTAGCTGAGCCATCCTGCCTACCTGTTGGCAGCTCAGTGGCTGCTCAGCTTGGGCTGGACTCGAACCGCTGTTGCTCAGAGCTCAAACTCTTGAGTGAGCTCTTAACCAACTGAGCCACTCGGCCAGCCCCTGGATTAAATCTTTTAACAAAAGCACACCTGATCCTCCTTCAAAACACCACAAATGAAAATGAAACCTACATGTATTAAGAGCAACCAAAACTCAAATCTATAAATTGAAATTGCTCAAAGTATTGGGTTGTCGGAAAAGTCATGACGAATTTTTTCTATGTTGTTCGTTGCAAAAATGCGTCATGACTTTTCTGACAACCCAATATTTACTATGCCAGGAAAAAATATTTTTAACCAGTGTAGATAGGAGACTATAGTGATTTCAGCAAAATAAAGGTGTTTTATATATATAAAAAAATTACAAGATAAATGTATAAAGTGTCTATTGTTCAAAGATTGATCCAAGCCTATTGGTACTATTCCTATTATTAACTGACAATGTTTGGGTATTTCACTATTCTTAGAATTATGATCTCCATGATCCTCTGTGCTTAGGGCCACGGGTGAATCTTTAAGCAGACATAAAGCTCTGAGAGAGAGTTCTAAATAGAATTGCGAATGCCTGAAGATGAGGTTATCAAAAAGTAGTCTGTGTAACTCTCTTTAAAATTATCTTCAATACAGATATTTCATCCTTTAAAAAGAAAATCAGTACAGTGTACACAAACACTGTACTTTAGTTGGTAAATTTGTCTCTCAGGGAGTATAGGTTAAAACACTTTAAACAGTTTTACATGTATACAGGGGTGAACAGAATATAAATAAAATGGAGCCAGGTTTGCACTGTCAGAAAGGTTAGATAGGAAAGAAAAGCAAGAATAACACCCGTGGTACTGGAATAGAGTTGAAGACATTCATATGAACTCGTTTAGTTTAATATATGTATACAGAAACAATTATATATATGCATGTACACACATGGGTTAGTACGCACACACACCCTTGCTCACTAAGAGCCTAGAAGCAATGATACTATAGATCAGGTGTCAGCAAACTGCGGCTCGCGAGCCACATGCGGCTCTTTGGATAGGTTCCATCTCAAAAGTCTGCCGACCCCTGCTATAGACAGTAGTCTAGTAGCAAGGAAAACATCAAGTGCTTAGATCTTAGTTTCAAAATACCACTGTCTGGTACAAGGAACTAGGTCTCCTTGGAGAAATGGCTGATTCTAAAGCTGGGGCAGGGAAAATAAGAGTCTTAGGCATCTTGTAGTACCAAGAAGAAATGGGGTATGTCAAAGGGACAGAGTTGCCAAACTTAAAGAGTTCTCAATGGCCAAGGCTGCAACAAATTGAGCAACAAAATAAATAATATACTACTGGAGGTATGAAGTATGAAATAAATGTACATGAGTCCATACAATAAATGACAGAATAAATGAGGAAGAGACAAGTCTTTCTCATAGCATTCCATTTAAATATATGTAGATACTCCTTCCCATAGGAAATGGAGTCCCTACTGTTGGCTGCAGCTACCCCTCTTCCTCCACCTTCTATCCCATCTGCTGAGCTAGACTTAGTTGTTTGCTTCTGAAGAATAGAGAAAAAAAAATAGTAACTTTATAGTGGAGAAACCTAGAGAACATTACCTTAACCAAGTGATGAAATTTTACTAGCAACATTATATGGCTATCATGTATGTCCTGATGTGATTGGAGCAATTCACTTTTGTGGTATTCTTTCTCAAAACCCATAGCGCCAGACTAACCATGAGAAAAACACTAGGCAAATCTAGATTTGGGATACCCAGTCTAGGATACCCAGATCGAAACCTTAATTCTTTTGCTGCCACATTCAGATATATTTTCCTGTGGCTTGCACTATGAACAACAAAGATGTTTTGTATGCCATATTGTGCAACATTTTGTAATAAACTTTTTATGTCATCAGTGCCATTAGATTCTAATGTATCTATACTTAAGTCTAATGGATGCCACTTAGTAAGTTTTGAGTATTTATTTTCTAAAATTTAATAAAATGATAAATTTATTACCATGTAACAAAAATTTAAAAAAAAAATAGTCATTTATGTACAAAGCAGCTCGAAATGTTATTAAATGCCTAATAGTAAAAATATCAACTTTTCATTTTGTGTGGATTTTTGACCCATTTTGAAAAAAAAACTTGAAATCAATTAACCCAGTGGTTGTATGAACACAAAAACAAGCACGAAAAAAGCGGGAAATGCAAGTAAAAAAACGCCCCACAAAACTACAACCACTGTGTAAGATGCACCCAGTTTTTACACCCCAAATTTTTTGAAAAAGGGTGCGTCTTATACATGGGGAAATACAGCAATTAGCTTGCAATTCCCCAACATGTATCACCTAAAAGATGTGAAAGCCATACTAGGAAAAATAATCCACTTGAGACTTAAAAATTTTTTATTCAAATCCTCCACAGTTGAAAGAATGAAGCCGCTATTCCTTCTCTCTCTTTTTTACTGCATGAATGGCCTGTATCAATTGCAACTGGAAGTGGAACAGGAGGGGATGCGGCGGCTCTGGCTCTTGGGGCATCTTCAGGCTCTGTTGCCGCCCTCCAAAAGGACCTTCTCTTTTTATTTATGTAAAATTGTAAAGCTTTGTCACAACAGATACTTTGATGATCTTAGTAAAGTTACAAACTTAAAATTATTTGGGAAAATGTGTAAACTAGTAGACTGTGGGCTTCTGTAGGAGGAGAGAATAGAGTATTTATAGCATCCAACACTGTAAGGTCTTCAATAACTCACTGTTTGGCTGCTGCTGGAGAAAAGGAGAGAATAAATAAGAAAATACGAGGGTCGACTGTGTGGCTCAGTTGGTTAAGAGCTCGCTCAAGAGTGCAAGCTCTGAGCCACAGCGGTTCGATTCCCAGCCTGAGCTGAGCTGCCGCTGAGCTGCCAACAGGTGGCAGGATGGCTCAGCTAAAAAAAAAAAACAAAAAACGAATCACAGTAAAATAGGTTCTAAAATATTACATGTACTTAAAAAAATTCTTCCTCTTCACATTTCATAATCAAATTTGAGCTGAACTACTTAGACATCTGCACTTCAACCACTTACTTGAATATCGTACATTTAGTGAAGAAACTTCGGTCAATTTAACTTCTCTTCGGAAACAAAATGAACAGCTTGCTACCTGACAGACAACTGAAATATTTATTCACAGAACTACTACTCAGGGCAGTGACTATTTGGGGTTGTTTTAATATACCGGTAAAGCTTCAGCTTTTTCAAACGGAAAAACCCCATGAATGCTAAGCCATAGTAATAAAGAATACTGTTTACACACGTTGTTTTCTATGCTTACTGGGGCAAGGAGACTCGTCCTTTAAGTCCTATTCCACCTAAAAATTCCCTCAGAATCTGGTCAAGGCGTTCTAAAACTCACCCTGCCTTAAAAATTTCTGTAGACTTCTAAATACTTCATTGAGAACCAGACAATCTGATAAGGCCCAATTCTGCCCCTTCACATATCCCTGCCCTCCTTTTTCCTACCTCTCCTAACAGAGCCATATCCTTCACATTCCTATTCCTCGAGTACGGCAGTGGCTGGGCAAAGCCAGGCCTCCCACACACTCCTTTCCTTCACTGTGGTGGTTAGAATTCAGAACTTCTACGGTGTATAGAGAACCCAAGCTGCAGGCCAGACTGAGCAGAGGGTTAGAGGAAGCTCAAGACTGCCTCCTGCCCCCCACCACCTACAGGTCGTCCCCGTCCCGGCTCCCGCAGGCCCCGCGGAGTTCCGCAGCCCGCGTCTTCCTCAGGTTCTAGCAGGCGTCGCGTCCTGCCCTCTACCCTCCTCGGCTGTCTGACGTCGCGCTCACCGTTTACCAGCGCCGGGGCCTTCTCTGCGAGGTTACGGACAAACTGGGCCATGGTTCTAGGATGGAAAGTCCGTGCACTCGAACGGCCGGCTGAATGTCACCCCCTGGAAGGACCCACCGAAGGACCCTACTCCGCTTTCAAGGTCAGGCCTCCTCTTTCCGCGCCTGTCCAACATATTTAGGTGTCCTACTGTCCTTCGGGAATTTAGCTGAGTAATTTAGTTTCTTTAGTCACAGAAGGGAAACTGGATACAAAAAGATGAGATCAGAATACAGGTGGAGAAAAATAGGATTCGGCAGAGAAACAGGCATTTCTCGGGGCAGCTTCTCATGAAGGCCCGGAAGGCTGGAGAGGGGAGGAAAGGCGCATGCGCCCTGAGCGTCCCCCTACTTTCCGAAACGCCGACCTCCATTTTTTTGCTTAAGGTGCTTTCGCAGCTTCTGAGAACGTGGGAAGTTAGGTCTGGAAGGCATCACCGCCTTTTCTAGGCCAACACGATCGTTTTACAAAGGCAGAGTGGGTCCTAGGCCATACATGTAAAGTTAGAGCCAGAGCAGGCGCCATACAACCTGTCACCCGACTCAGCCTTTCTTTAGTTGATCTTTTGTAATCTCCGTTTCCCCTGCATCCTGTACCAGGATTGGAAGCCAGTTCCCCTAATTCCCTAACCAGCCACAAGGAACTATGCAGATACGAGGAACAAAATCATATTTGCGGAGGGCTTCCAGTATGCCAGGCATTTTGGAGTTTAAAGAAAGCCTGAAAGTTAGTGTCCCCATTTAAGTCCGGGTTTGACAAACGGTCTAGCTAGCGGCACAGTTGGGATCCGAGGAGGTTGCAATGTAAACAGAAGGGACGTCAATATCAGGTTAGGTTGGCAAGGTGCTGATCTGGGAAGACTTCCTAGAAAAGGCGATCTTTGAGTCGATGTATAACAGAAAATACATACTAGAGTTGAAATTTTATAATTAAACGTGACTGGAAGATATAGTAGGGAAGAGGCATTTGATAAGAAAATCAGAATGATAAATAATGTGTCTTGGGGAAGCCTGAGCCGAAGTAAAACTGATAGATGGAATGATTAAAGGTGGAAAGAAAAATTAGGAGCCAAGAACAGCATTTCCTCAAGAGAAGTGAGATTAAGGATGGGAAAGTTAATTTGGCAATATGAAAACATCAGCTAGAGCAGTTTCAAAAAGTTAGGATAGAAACCAGAGTGAATGAATGAAGACATACGGATATAAAGGAAAACAAGTCAGAAACCCAAATAGGGATGTGGAACTCAAGGGAGAGACTGATGATACAGAAGGGGGATTGATAAAATCCCTGGTAAGGTAGGTAAGAAGGTTGCAGGGCCTTGGAGCTGTGGGGCCTTTTCCACAGATGGGATGATGGGACAGAATTTTGTAAGTGGAAATTTGAAGTCTATGTCTTTCCAGTGAATTAGAAGACAAGGTCATCTGAATGTGAAGGGTAAGTGGGAGGGTGGGAAAGAATTTGAGGTAAGGGGTAAAAGTTTGGAATAGCTGTTGAAGTTAAGGACACAAAGAAGTGGTTGGGCAATGTTAGAAACCACAAGTTTGTGGTTGCATCACTCTAAAGATTGTGTCATTTTTCTGCATCAGTGGTCTGTAGCTTGAATATTGGAGCAGAGGGGAATGATTGGGTTAATTTAGGCTGAGGTCTTGCATGACAGAGGTACAGAAACAAGGGGCAAGAAAGGGGAACATGATAGTAAATGATTAAAATGAAAGACCTTAGGTTTAGGCCAGATAAAGAAAAGTGAAGCCAAAAGTGAACTGATTAAGAAAAAACTGCCCGGAGACTCATCTTCTGAAGATAACTCCAGGGCCCAGAAGTTATCTTAACAGGTAAGGCAGGTTAGGTCAGCCAGGTCACAATTTTAAATGACCTTTAACAGAAGTGAAGGTCAGATTCTTCTTAAGTTTCCAGAGAGATTTCTGAAACTGTTAGTAAGTAGCTTTTAATACTGTAATAAAGGAAGTGATAACAAAGGTTGTAAGTCAGGTGTTCATTTATTAAATACAAGCTTTGAACAGACACCCTCAGGCGAGTTTGACAAGAAATTACCTTCCTGGAATGTTTCAAAATACATGTTATATTGATCAAGTTTTATTTCAATCAAAACTTTTTGTTGTTTTGTTCTTCATTTTCTTTGTTTCTAGGTTCTTTTCCTGTTTAGCAGTTAAAGCATGTGCATTATTTCCTCACATGTCATCAACAGTGCAGCATCAGCCTCTGGTTGGTAAAGGCACCCAGTAGACTTATGCTCTGTGCAGTGGCTGCTTAGCAACCAGCATCAAATAAAGTAATGAAGCTTTTGTAGAGTGTGATACCATAGAGCAACTGGCACCTTCACCCGCACCATTAAAAAAACCTTTTAAGTTATTTCAGTTTTTACATATCCATTACAAATTTTATTTAAAAAAACAAACCCAGATTGCTTGATAAAATCTACTTAATTTTCCAAGTTTAGTATTACCCTTTTAGTAAGCAATATTAGAGCTGATTAAAGAGTCATTTTCCTATTATATTCCAGCAAAGCCAACACATAAAACTAGGCATGTCAGAAAGTCTGCTCTCATAGATTTAGGGCTGCCTCTGAGTACCAGACAACAAAACACCTCTTTAAGCTTCCAAGTGCATATACACACTGTGTTGTACCAAGAGGATAATTTTGGGGGATGTTCATAAATTACGTTAAAAAAAAAAAAAAAGCCACAGAGGACACCTGTTTTCCTTTCCAATAGTGGCCTTAAGTGACACACTTGGCTTTGTGATGAGTTTAAAGATACTCAGCAGCATTAATGGTGCCATAGCCATTCAAAGAGATTCAGGAAAAGGGCTTTAAAAAAGGCTTGCAAGGAAAGGCTTACAATCTGAAGATTAAATCAGACACAGATACAAGAGGCAGCATAGAGGTTGTTAACTAGAAAGCTGCTGGGAACAACTGCCTTCTGAGGTCTTGTGTCCATTTTCTCCTATAAAACTCTGGTCTTTCCCCTCCTCTTTTACAAATAAAAACAACCTAATTAGATTGGGTTTGGGAGATAAATGCAAGTAGCTAGAAACTTATTTTATAAACAGTTCGTTCTCAGAAAGGAATAAATATGAAACTCATTTTAAGAAAAACAAATCCTGTCAACCCATGCCTCAAAAGCCCAGGGAGCACAATGAATTAATATCTTACATTCTGGCATTTGCAAGAGTCCTAGACTTCCTTTTTCATTTATAAGCATGGCAATAGGCAACATCTACTTTATATCTAGTGCGGGGTGCCCTCTGATTTGCGGTTTTCCAGCTGATACCATCAAAAACACATCAAGGACTGTTCACAGAAACTTGGAATATCATAAAACTACCATCTTATCTGAAAGATGCCATGGTTAACAATGTCCTCTAAATGAAGCAATGACCCGTTTCTAGAGCATACCAATTTTTCTTGTCACTTTTATTGTTGGGACTTAGAGGGACAGCATGTTAAGCTGCACAATTGAGTAAGGAACTCAAGCTCAATTTGTAAGTGGGGCCCATCCACCTAACTACTTAGGGCTAAGTGGATATTTTAAATAGTTTGTGGACAGAGTTGTGCTCAAATTCCTACTTTGTTAATTGATGAACTAAGGCTGAGTTTTAGAAGCAGCTCTCAGAATTCAGGTCATAAGTCCAAACATTAACTATATACATTTTAGTCTCAGAATTTTGTCTAGATTAAATGTGTTAGTGGCCACATACTACATACATCTTACCATGGAAGAGACAACTTAAAGTGGTTCTGTTTACACTGGACCAATAATCACACACACACACACACACACACACACACACACACACACACACACACTGTTGATACTATTAGTGTCTTAAAGATGACATTTTTCCTGCTTACATTTGTTGCCCAATTTTTCTACTCAAGCTTAGTCTTTGTAACAGGTTTCCATACGCTAAAAAGGGCCCAACAGCCTTCTTTATTCTTTCACCTCAGAATTTTTTGAATGAAGTGTCAAAACTGCAAGTCTGTCCTGTCAATCCTCCTAAAAATATCGCAGGGCTAAGTTTTCTGTGGTAATGACAACCCCACTGGACAGTATTTGTCCTCCATGGTATCCTTGAGTTAAGAGATAACACAAAATTAAGAGGTGTCAACAGAATTGCACAAGATTCCTTTTTTTTTTTTCCATTTCATCTATCTTCTTATTCAAAAGTCTCAAACATCAAGGTATCTGCTTTTATGTAAAAGGTTACTCTGTAGAGCTGTAACAAGGCAAACAGCTGAAGTCCTGGTCATGAAGACTAGTAAATACCTTGCTAATACAGGACTTTCTGATGATATCAGCTGTCACTGAAATATGTGACATCATATACTTAAAAGCAGTGCTCACCAAAGATGTTTGAGTGGTTCTTGGAAGAGAAATAGTAGGGTGGAAGAAGTTTTATTAGTTGAAGTTAATATAATTTAAGGTAGGAAAAGGAAGAAGAATAGGAAGAGAGAACAAAGGGTAAAAATTAGTGATGATTTCTAAACTTGGTGATGCTATAACTATAATTTTCTGCAAGCCAAGAAGAGAGCATTGTAAAGTTCTTAAGAACCTTAATTATCATAATTTGAGCAAGAGCAGTTCTCTAATTTAATTTAGTAACGGAAAAAAGGAACAGAATCAGAGAGAAATCACAATTGTTTATCTATTCTCTGGGGTTGGTTTTTGGTTTGTTTAGGTCACAGTATTTATTCAAGTTGCCCCTTTTGTTGTTGTTTCCTCTCTGCGAGCCACCGTTGGATTTTTTCTTTTAGTTCTGTGTTTGGCCGGATCTGGTCCATGGTGAGGGGACTACGGTTAAAGGGATCTGTTTGGTCACTGGGACAAAGAGAGAAAGGGAAATGGGGTTATTTCCATAAGTTCTAACACCCTAAGCTAAAAATAGAACACCTGGGGATCTTACTTTGAGACTGAAGCTAGAGTGTATTATAACTGAATCAAGTGCTGACCTGAGCTTAAAAAGAATGAGATGAGAAAGAATGATTCAGGAGGTTTTGGGGTTTTTTTGCAGATTATTTAGCTGCTTTGTGTCTCTGCTTATTTTTTTAAACAAACTATATTTCAACATTGTTGTTCAGATGATATTTGATTCAATTTCCCTCAGGCAGAGACCTTGTGCACTCATGTCAACATGAAAAGCTGCCTATAGTTTTAGTGACAGATTCTCAAAATAGAGTAAGATGTTAAGGGACACTTGATTTAATTAGCTGATTGCTGCTATACAGGTAAGTGGAGATTATGGTTTCCTGTTGTAAGAAGGTTTGTAAGAGCTGATATATTCTCTTTTTTATTATGAGGCCACAATAAAATATAAATTTTCACTGATGCTTTGGTAAATATATAGCACCACAGAATCATGCATATAGTGAATGCTTAATACCAAATACCATGATGTACAAAATCCTTTTTTCCCCCCAATATTTAAAAAAACAGTATATTTCCATACATTTTGGTCAACTTATGTAACAATTTTAAATAGGCAGAGTCTCTCCATACCCCATTTCTATGTAATGCTGCACTTAGAGCAGGCAGCCTGGGGAAAACCATGGCTGAGTACAACAGCAGCAGCAGAATGTGGGTTAACCCATATGATGAATATTAGTGTGAAACCTAAATTAAGAAACAAACCTGTCTTTCATATTTTTATAACGAAAATAAAATTAAAACAATTTCCAGTCAACTTATTAAACGCCAGGTTGACATATTTTATAACATATGGTGACAGAAATTATATCCTTAAGGAAAGAAGAGATAAATAAGGTTAGAATCAGCATTTCTCAACAGGGTGTTATTTTGGGGATGTTTAAATCCTTAACAATCAAGTGATGTACCTCTACCAGTGTCTCCCCAACACATTCATAAATCAACAGTATGGGGCACCTATTGGGTGTACTGTACTGTAGTAGAAATCCGGGGAAAAAAGACGCTTGAGGCTCCTTTTTGGGCTGGCATACCTGAGCAAATGTCTGGCGATGGTGGATCGATCCACAGTGACTCTGGAAGACGGCAGCACCACAGGGTCAGACATCAGTGTGCTCATGATGGGATCCAGGAACTCATCACAGGCATCCGCATAAGTCTCCTCTTCCTGTTGCTGGAGGTCTGCTAGAGACTGAGCACAAACACCTGGCGGTTGAGATGAATTCACAGAGCAGCTGAACTCAAAATGCTCAATGACTATACCTTAAGGGGTCAGTAATAACCCTTGACAGTGATAATGACAATTCTCAGTTTTATTTTCTAAACAAGCCAAGATGGGTATTATAGAAGCAAATTTAGCATTCAGCCCCAACTCTGAAACTTCGACTTGGCTCAGCTGCTAGCACTCATGACTAAAAATGGGTTGAAGTGTTAACAGGAAAAGAAACACATCACATACATCTTTCTGGCAACAGTCCTGTTGTAAATGTCATAATTCAAAAGGGGAGCGGGTGAAGGGTTATTATTTGCATAATTATAGAGGCACTCATGCAGTCTGTGTATGAAAAGCAGTTTCCGGTTTTAGGTACAAACAGGTAAAGGAATTTAAAAGTGGCTTCAATATTTGATTTCTTCATGACTCTAGTTCTTAAGGGCTCCATCTGACTAAGGTCTAAGCAAAGATGAAGCCCAGCTCAATAAATAAGTAACTCAATGAAGGGAACACTGATATAAATAGGGAAGGTTTTCTATTAGACTCTGTGCCATGATTTTTCTCTTCTTCATTACTGAGTTTTATCATACTCCAGCCAAAGCTATTAGCTAAACACAATACAGTATTTTAATCTTTAAAATGTATTTAAAGATGGCTATTCCCATATAAGCCAATGATCAACTATAAAGATAGAGAACAGAGAAAATCAATAAAAGCCAATGACTAAAAACTACTCATCCTGAATTCTATTCTGAAAAGTTCTTTTGCATTAACATCATAGATTTTCAAATCTATTGGCAACACTACACAGAAAAGTTTTCATAAGAACAGCTTACAAAAACCTGTACACTCTTCTCTTCTAGTAGAAGCTGCTTTTTTTTTTTTTAGCTGAGCCATCCTACCATCTGTTGGCAGCTCAGCAGCAGCTCAGCTCGGGCTGGGAATCAAACCAGTGACCCTGTTGCTCAGAGCTCACACTCTTGAGCGAGCTCTTAACCAACTGAGCCACTCGGCCGGCCCTAGTAGAAGCTTCTTAAATCAATTTTCCGCTCTCACCCTCATGTCCAAAAAAGTAGTATTAAGAATACAATAGTTCTAGTTACTGACCAGGAAGAATCATATTTGCATTTTCTCAAGATAGTGCTTTCTTCCCTCCCTGAAATAGGGTAAAAAGCAGAACAGCTGACTTGATAATGTGATTTTTTTTTTTTTTTTAGCTAAAGCCATCCTGTTACCTGTAGGCAGCTCAACAGCAGCTCAGCTCGGGCCGGGCATCGAACCGGCAACCCTGTTGCTCAGAGCTCGCACTCTTGAGCGAGCGCTTAACCAACTGAGCCACTTGGCCAGTCCGATAATGTGACTTTTTTTATTGAACATGTTAATAAACTATCATCCTTCTCACCTTGATTTTGTCTGCTAGATTGCTGAAAGCCACAATCATATTCCCAGGTTTATTTATCTTCTTCAGGACTCGTACTGTCTGTGCAAAGAGAGTTGGGGAATAGGAACGCCCATCCTTCGGTACAGTGGCACAGAAATTCTCCTCATCCCTGGAAAAGTCAGCATCAGAAAGAAATGGAGATCAGAAGGGAGGTCAACGAGAGAGATAACACATGGGCTGAGGATCACTTATAGCCCATGAATGTTCTTTTCATATGGGAAGATTTCTTCTAATTTTTAGGAAGGAGGTATATCAAGTATCCTGAAGCCTTAAAAGAATACTCCTTTTCCAAAAAACCAGCGAAGTTTATCTTTGAACAGATCAAGGCAGAATGTTGGAAATTCTAAACAATGGCCCACAAGCCATACGAAATCTCATTATTTAAAACTACAGAAGATTCATCATCCAACTAGAAATGAACCATTTCTTTTGTATTTCCAAATAATTACCAACCAGTCATTCCATGATCAAAACCCCAAATTAAATCATTAGCATCCCCTCTGGCTTGCCCAATTTAAATCTCAGGTACCCAAGATTTAAGTAGATAGTGCAGATATCTGATACGAGTTGCTGGGGTTTGAAGTCAAATTCACTGAAGTCCTTGACTTTTAAGGCCCCCATTTTGGGGCCAACCAGGTGCTGCAGGAAGTAGTTCAGCATGGAGATGATGCGCTCAGCCAGGAAAGGATGCACAAAGAGTGATTTGATCTCTGGAAAAAAAGCCAAAGGCTGTGAAAACTCAATCCATTAGCAATCATTTACTTATGTCTTAGAGTTTTACTTGGAGACCTCT